ACTTATGTAGAGGCATAATCAAACTGTATTTCCATTTGTCCGGAAAAATTTTTGTGGCTAATGATTGATTAAATAGTATATAGAGCGGTTTTGTGATGACTGAAATAGTTTCTTTGTAAAAAAGAGTTGGAATTTTATCTGGACTATTGCTTTTATTTGGATCTAGCGACAGAATTGCTTTGCTAATGTCGGCTTCAGTCACAGAAAAATGGTTAATGCAGTTGCATGTAAGAAATTGGTCGATATTTGAATCAGTTGGTTCATTGTAAACCTCTTCGAAAAAATCTGCGAACAAGTTCGAAATAGTTTCCGGAGAATCCGAAGAGATATTTTTATAGCTCATGACACTAGGGAAAGTGGATGATTTTTTAATTGCTTTTGTATAAGCAAAAAACTGTTTTGTGTTTTTTGCAATAGAGTTTTCCACATTTGTCTGGTATTTTTTCAAACACGCTCTGATTTCGTACTTGACTTGTCTCCGTTTTTCTTCGTATAAGTTTTTGAATAATTCAGAATTGGAGCGCTTCCTGTAAAACTCTTTTTGTTTGATAAGACTTATGACATTGGCTGTATACCATTTCGGGTATTTGTCACTTTTATGCGAATATTTAGGCACATATTTGTTAACTAATTCGTCGATAATAGCATAAAAGTTCGACACATTCTCGTTTTATGGGCCAATTTTCGTTCTTCGGGAAAAATTTACCTCTCCGGGTAAAATGCATTTTCGTCAGAACACCAAATTTTTCAGCAAAATTTATACCTATCACATAGAAAATTGATGTTTAACTTTACTCCTGCTAATCGATATGTATTGATAAGTACATATGATAAGTATTGAAAATCAGATGAAAAACCTCTAGACGAGGTTAAAATCGAGTAACGGTACTGAGCGTGGATTTACCACTCAAAAAGACTGATATCATTTTGAGTGACGCTAGGTGCTAGGACGCTGTATTCACTGGATACGATATTCAGAAGTGTTTTTCGCATTCACTATTAAATTGGCTCTCTTATGTGGAAGATTTATTCGTGGTCGCGCGTCAGTGCTATTTAGAAGTTGTCACCCCGTTGTCCGAATGTTGCTCAAAAGTTTATTTAAAGCTTGGGTATGTTCAAATATATAAATAAAAATACAAATAAAACAGAAACACCAAGTTTCAAGTTCAAGATGCGAGAACGCGTTCATACACATTGTGTAGACCTTGAGCCATAAGTTAAATTCAAAACATGTATTCATTAATTTCAATGTATTTATAATGCGCTACCTGCCATACGTTCGCATTTTCTAGATTCATCTTTGGCATATTCAGGAAACCCAACATATTCTCTAATCGTTTCGTTCAATATTCTAATCATACACTGTGAAATTATATTCGTAGATTGCATGAAAGTTTGTACATGTTTCGTTATACGAACGTAAACATATAATTCGTGATATCTACGAACGTTTTCAAGTTTGAGAAAACTTTTGTGGAACTCATGGAGCTTTCGTGGTTTTGAGTTACGAAAGAATCGTATATTTTAGGGGATTTTTATGCATTTTTTCGTACCGAAATTTCTTCGTTTATTGTCGCATGAAATGGAGAATTCGTATTGTGAGGAATTGTGTACGAGGGCTGAGTGCATGATTTAATGGTTTTAAAGATATATGCATAATCACTACTTACGTTGACTTATTAGTATTTCTTTCAAGCTCTGAAAGTTTATCGATGGGTTTGAAAGCTTTTTTACTATCTTCATCAATGTCCGGTATTGGTGCAATAAGAGATGGAGGCGCCAAGGGAGCTAACGGATCTTGTGATATTTCAAAATATGAAATAAGAATGACTTGCGAGTAACAATTCTCAGAAAATATAATAAGATTCACTTACTAGAGTTGTTTATAGGTGGTTTGAAGAAAGGTGGTAGGTTTGCGTAAACATAAGACCGGTTGGGCTGTTTATCTTCGATTTCAGTTCTTGGAGTAGCTGCAATTTTAGTCAATGGTGCTAACGTAGATGTCATCATTTTTAAAATGCTTTCAACATCTCTTCCACCATCTGTAGGTGTTGATGGGGTGTCAACATGATTTGGCATGGAACGATTTTTTGAATGTGATGTGTCATGGTGTGGTGGTACTTTGAATGGTTTTGCGAAAAGTGGCTTTGGGAACCCTTTATCGCAGTCCACGGATTTTTCACAGCTTTCTTGAATCTTTTCGGTTGGTCGATCTATTTGTGGATGACGGCGCCCATTTGCAACCGGCATTCCAGTGCTAATTGTTGATTGCGACTGATATTTATAATTTGTTCTAATGCCATTTGGTAGTTGCACTGCTTTGTTCTGTTGTTGTGGCAACAAAGTCTGAGGTTGTTGCTGCGGTGAGTGTGATAAACCATTCATTTGTTTAACCTGTAAATTTGAAAGAACAAAAATTTACCAAAATTGATATTAAAGTTCTTAAAAGGTTATGAGTAAATTCGTGGCAAAATTTGATAAAAGAAATCAACGAAATAAGGAACGACAGTTTCCAGTTTTAGGAAAAACTAACTGAATATCACGATGATGAAATTATTTATGATATACTTCCTAAATTCAGAAAATAAACTATCATAGAGATTTCTGAATAGTATTCAGTGAATACTGCCTCAGTTTCTATTGAAAAGTAAGTTTAGTAGCACTGAACTCCTGAGAATATTGAACGTTATTGAACTTTATTACATCTTTCTGAAATACGGTTCTTGAAAAGTTGGTACGCGAAAACGGTACATCAAGAAAAAAAAAATCGGGGTTTTTAAGCCGTGTTTACAACACTACTATTTATCATTGACCTGCCCCATCATACAATCGACTCAGTATTACAATCATTTGCTGATGATACCCGATTATGGAAACACATTCAAGACTATGATGATTGCCTAGCCTTACAAGCTGATCTAAATAGGATTGTAAAATACTTCAAAAGTAATCAGCTGAAATTGAATGTCAAGAAGTCTAAATTCATATCATACCACCGAGGACAGCTGAAATTTGTGTTTGAATACACGATTGACAACGAAAAAATTGACCGTGTTGAAGTGATGAAGGATCTGGGCGTCATTTTGGATGTAAACATGAATTTCAATGCACACATTGAATTCATTACCGCCAAAGCAAAGTCAAGATTGGCATGGATCAAACATTTTGGGAGAGATTTTGAGGACCCATGGACAATTAAGAAATTATTTTTCACATTTGTACTACCGATTATCGAATATGGCTCACAGATTTGGAGGCCATACACCGCTGAAAAGATTGCTCGAGTTGAGTCCGTTCAAAAGCAGTTTTTATTATTTGCACTGCGTAAAATGAAATGGTCCCATGGATTTAAGTTACCACCATACGAATGTCGATTGCTGGAATTGCAAATGATAACGCTTGCGGAACGAAGAAAGATAGCTCAAATTACAATGGTACATAATGTGTTGTGCGGGCATACATCATCGAGACATATTATGAACGAAATCAATATTAGAACACCACGGCATTGGACAAGAGACACAGCATTCCTATCTCTACCAGTACGACACCGTGATTACTCCAGATTCGAACCAGTCAATCATATGCTGTCTACGTACAATGATTTCTATAACAAATTTGTGCCAATTAAGCCACCTTTAATTCATAAAGAAAATAAGAATTATCATAATGTTCCTACTCCAGTCTGTGATACTTATTTAATTGATTTTAACACGAGTACAAATACTGTTAAACAGAGAATTAATGAATATTTTAAAAGAAATAGATTATGGAGAGAGTGATAAATTTTATGCAAATATAGCAACTTAATTAATGTAATATAATGTAAATATACAAAATAATATTTATATCAAATAAACCACCTCTGGCGAAGAAACGCTGTATGGTGCAGAATAATAATAATAATAACAATACTTGTCCCGTTTTTTCCTACAACTTTTTTCAAGTTTTACATACTATAACTACGCATCGAAAAAAGTCCAACGAATATTATTATTATTATTATTATTATTCTGCACCATACAGCGTTTCTTCGCCAGATGTGGTTTATTTAGTATAAATAAAAATATTCTGGTATATTTACAATATATACAATATTAAATTAAATTCAATCTCTCCAAATTCGGTTTCTCTTAAAATATTCAGCTACTCTCTGTTTTACAGTATTTGTACTTGCGTTGAAATCAATTAAATAAGTATCACAACCCGGAATCATAGTAATATTACATTCATTTGGTAAATTTGGTGGCTTGATAGGAACAAAGGATTTATAAAATTCATTGTATGTACTCAGCACATACTTAATATATATTCTCAGCCGTTCAACTGTTGGTTTGAATTTACATGTGGGATCGAAGGATCCTATTGAATTTTAAGGAAACTTGTCAGTCTTATAATAGCTTATAACCAATAAACATTGCTTGAAACATTATTAAGATTCTACATGGGGGCTCAACAGCTTTGAACACCACGTACGTTAGGGAAGTCAAAGAAGTCCAAAGAAGTCAACGAAGTCGAAAGAAGCATAAATAAGTTAAAAAAGAAAAGCAAAAACTAGTAAACTCAAATAAAAATAAAACGAATTACATACGTAATCCAAACTTTTCCGCTCCGCAGCAATTTAGTTTACCTTCCGCTTAATGTTTAACCAAAATTTCAATGGATCCTTTTTTCATAGCATTTTCGACCTTAAAATATAACTATTTCGACCATTTTCCATACAAAAGTGTCATTTTCAAACAAAATTTCAAAAATTTCAAGAAATGTCGATTTTGGACCAAATTTATGGGCAAGTAG